ATCGCCCGCCAGGCGACGAAGCCCTCGTGCCTGCCTGCGGGCGTAACCATCGCCAGCGCCTTGCGCTGGGTCTTGGTGGCCAGCATGGCATGCAGCAGCTTGATCGCCGCTGCCGCGCGCTCACCCATGCTGACGTTGTCCACCGCGAGCGCTGGCTGGGCCTCAACGTTGTCGGTGGGGTCATCCCAGCCCACCAGCGCGAAGCACGCGTGGGCCTTGATGGACCAGCTGGGCCAGTCCTCATCTCTGCCACTGAACTCTGGCAGCTTGATGTCGCCTCTGCGATCCACCAGCTGCTCTCTGGGCGCCGCTGCCATGGGCAGCGCACGTCCTCAGTCTTCCCGTGGATCTGATCTGCGCAGTTCACCGCAGAACCACGCTCCGCTACCATGGCGGAAGTTACGCGGATGAGTGGGGAAAGCGTATTTTGGGGGGCTCTTTTTCCTCCAACGCAGTTCGAACAACATGGCCTGCGCTTATGCTCCGAACTGACGGCGTCCGAATCACTCAAGATCCCGAACAATATCTGGGAGCTGCTCTTCTGTTTCCCGGGGGCGCCTTGGCAACCTCCTAGGACGTGCCCTGACCCGCAGCAGCCCCAGGCGCCGTCAAGCCCTGGGCCACGGACTCTCGGGCCTCGTGCACGATAAACACATATACAAACACACGCACGTAATTATCCAGGTGGAGGACACAAACATATGCAGTTGTGGGCACTGCAATTGTGATTAGCTTCTTCGGTAGAGTTTCCTAGCCGCATGCGAACGCAGCCACTGGGGCCTTCCGTGGAGCTCCCCATGGGGCCACGAAACGCGCAACGGGTGTGCCGGAATTTGGGTGAAACTGCGTGCGAACACTGTCACTGGGGCCTTCGGTGGAGCTCCTTATGGGGCCACGGAACGCGTGAGGGGTGTGCCGAAATGAGGGGCGGAACCGGATGCGAATGCAACCACTGGGGCCCTCGGTGGAGCTAAACATGCGAGGGGTGTGCCGAAATGGCGGGTGGAACCGCATGCGACCGCGGCTACTGGGGCCTGCGGTGGAGCTATGGGGTCACGAAACGTGCGAGGGGAGTTCCGACATGGGTGGTGGAACCGCATGCGAACGCAGCCGCTGAGGCCTTTGGTGGAGTTCCATATGGGGCCACGGAACGTGTGAGGGGTGTGCCGATATGGGGGGTGGAACCGCATGCAAATGCCGCCACTAGGGCCTTAGGTGGAGCTCCCTATGCTATGGGGCCACGAAGCGTGTGAGGGGTGCGCCGAAATGAGGGGTAAAACTGCATGCGAACGCAGCCACTGGGGCCTTCGGTGGAGCTCTCGATGGAATCACGGAACGTGTGAGGGATGTGCCGAAATGGGGGGTGGAACCGCAAGCGAACACAGCCACTGGGGCCTTCGGTGGAGCTCCCTATCATGACAACACAACGTGTGAAGGGTGTGCCGAAATGGGGGGTGGAACCGCATGCGAACGCAGCCAGTGGGGCCTTTGGTGGAGCTCCCTACAAGGTCACGGCACGTGTGAGGAGTGTACCGAAATTGCGGTGGAACCGCAAGCGAACGCAGGCACTGGGGCCCTCGGTGGAGCTCCTTATGGAGTCACAAAACGTGCGGGGTGTGCCGAAATTTGGGCTGGGAGGATGGAGGAGCGAGAGAAGGAGGGGGAAGGAGGAGGAGCAGAGGAGGAGAGGAGAGGAGACCCGGGGCACTGTGTCGTCAAAGCGAGGACCCAACGTTACAAGAGAGTTGGGAACAAACAGAAAAATATTAGCCTGGCGAAGGGCCCAACCTGAGCAGTTGTGGGCACCGTCCTTGTGAGTACTGTGGTCAGTGTATCTCCTTATGGGGCCACGAAGCGCGTGAAGGCTGTGCCAAAGAGGGGGCGGGCCCGCCATGCGGGTGCTGCCACCGGGGCCGTAGGTTGAGCTCCGTTAGGGGCCACGACACGTGTGAGGGGTTCGCCGAAAGGGAGTGGAACCGCATGCATGCTCTGCCACTGGTATCTTCGGTGGAGTTCCCTATGGATGCTGCCACGGAACGTGTGAGGGAAGCACCGGCACTGAGCGTGAAATTGCATGCAAAATCTGCCATTGGGGCCTTAGGTGGAGCTCCCTTTGGGGCCACGAGACGTGTGAGGGGTGTGCCGAAATGGGGGGTGGAACCAGATGCGAATGCAGCCACTGGGGCCTTCGGTGGCGCTCCCAACGGGGCCACGAAACGTGTGAGAGGTGTGCCGACAGGGAGGGTGGAACCGCCATGCGGACGCAGGCACTGGGGCTTTAGGTGGAGGTCCCTCTGGGGCCACGAAGCGTGTGAGGGTGTACCGAACGGGAGGGTGGAACTGCATGTGGGCGCTGATACTCGCATCCGTGGGACTGTATTCGTGGGAGCTGTCTGTTCGCAACTCGAAGCCTTATTAGATCAGACGACGCCCAAGACAAGTGACGCACAGTTTTTGTTCGATGCGCGGTCCTACGAAGTCCCGACCCTCTCCCAAAGGCAAGCTTTTCATCCCGATCTTGCTTCAATGGTCCAGGGACCCGGCGAGGGTCCCCAGAGTCCGAAAACTGCCAAAACCTCCCGTCCTGATTTTCCCCCGACCCGAGCACTGTGTGCACATCGAACCCCGCCAGAGGAACATCAAACAACATAGCAATGATTCTCACTCGAGCGATCCCCGCGAATCAGGGCTGGATGCGGCTTGGGCATTGTCGTAACGAGTGCAATCTCTGATGGGGTAAACGTGGGGGCTTGCTATGTAGTCGTGGGGTGCTGAGATCACTATTCGCATATACTGACATTCGTATGTATGCAGCACCTGATCTTCTGCAGGGCTCGGATGTTGTACTTAGGTCCTTCATGGCGCGGTCCGCATTGCCGCTGACTTCCATACTCGCTGGTTTAACAAAAGTCTCCGAAGTCTAGTGGTCTGCCTCGCCTGCCCAAGAATCGCAGAAAGAGATTCACCCCTCCTCTTCCCTCCGCATCTCCCTGCACCTCCCTCGTCCTCTCTTCTCCTTCTCCTCCCCGTCCTCGACCTCCTCCTCCTCCTCCTCCTCATCCTCTGGAGGGTCTTCGTGGCTGTACTCCTGTTCCAACGTGAGCGGTACTTCCCTTGGACAAAATTCGCGCCGGGCGCGCCCGCCCCTGTTCCCCACGGCCGGACACAAAAACAGCACAGTAGTATTTTGGGGATTCGGCTGCACGCAATCAGAAGCTTGCTCAAAACAGCGACTGCCCTCCTGTCGGGCTGCACGCGACCGGTCGACGGCCAACCGGCTGCTAGCATTCCACCGCGCATCTCCTGGACGGGGAGTGGCGAACGCATCGGCCGAACCCTTTTTTCGTTGACGCTTGCTCGCCGACGGCAACCCTGCTGCCAATCCAGCAGACCCGAACTCCCGTAAGTCACGATGTTCCCTGACGTTCGTTATGTTTAATGCTGTGCGATGTCTCGAGTTGTGTGTTTCATGCTTCAGTGTTTTAGTTTTGCAGTCGTTGACCCTACATTTCCTCATAAACAACGCATGGCAAGACCTTGGCAAGATCTGGTATGATAGCACATGTCAAACCTTGGTAACCCTTGGCAGGCCTTCCGCAGCGTCGGGGGCTGTCAAGGCTTACGGCTGTTATCACAGGTTGCACACTGACCGATTGGGTCTCCAACTTAACGTTCGTTTGGACGTGAATATCCTACGATGGACACCACAAGGCACCCCACGCGCGCGGAGTTCTGCAGTGTGCACAATCGGCTAGTCGCCATGTTGGTATGGGAACTGATGTGAACGCCGGGCCGCACGGTGGGCGGGTCACCCGCCGCGCGTGCGCGAGCTCATGGCGACTTCTGTATGGTCCACAATCGGAAAAAGCGCCACGCTGGCCTGGAAACTAAAGTGAACTTTTGACGGTGACGGAAATGATGTTGAAATGAACATGGGTGTTGGTGTACCGTTTCATGCATGATCCACACAGAAATCCCCTTCCCGTTCGTGGTGCCACATGCCAGCGAAGCCACTGGGGCCCTCGGTGGGACTCCCAGTGGTGCCACGACACGTGTGAGGGGTGTGGCGGCATGGGCGCGGTGGCGCCATACGATCGCAGCCACAGGGGGCACTCCGTGGAGCTCCCCATGGGGCCACGAAGCGTGCGGGGTGTGCGGAAGTGGGCGCCGTGGTGCCATGCGAGCGCAGCCGCTGGGGCCCCCTGTAGGACCAAGAAGCGTGTGAGGTGTGTGGTGAAATGGGTGCCGTGATGCCATGCGAGCGCAGCCACTGGGGTCTTGGGTGGAGCTCCCTATGTGGCCGCGAAACGTGTGAGGGGTGTGCCGAAATCCTTGTGGTGGTGCCGTGCGACCGCGGCCACTGGTGCCCTCGGTGGACCTCCCTGAAGAGCCACGAAGCGTGTGAGAGGTGTGCCGAAACAGAAACATGCGGGTGACAGAGGCAAAGATGGGACGAGGGAGGAGGGGGAGGATGCGGGGTGCTGTCTCTTCAAAACGACGACCCAACACCACAGAATGGTTGGGAAAAGGGGGCTGGCTGGTCGTGAGGTCGGCGGGGCCCCTTTTCCCGACACTCCCTTGGTTGAGTTCTCGTTTTGGATAGAGCAGTGGGGTCTCCACCTTCTCATGCTCCTCCTGCTCCTCGCCCCCCCCGCTCTCCTCTCGGCGCCCTCCTCTGGCAGCTCTCTTGGGGGCTGCGAAATGTGAAACTGTCGCCACGTTCGAGGGCCGATGGGGGAGCCCGCACCATGGGGCCGCACGCGAACCCAAACGGCACCTCACCATCCCTGGGGGGCTCTCCCCAGGGCTGCAGGGGGAGCCCGCACAGTGGGGCCCCACGCGGACCCAAGCGGGACCTCGCCATCCCTGGGGGGCTGCGACAGAGCGAAGCCACCGCCACGCTCGAGGGCTGCAAGGGGCCTCTTGGGGCCTCTGGGGGCCCTCTTTTGGGGCCCGCTGGTGGTCTGAGGGGCTCTCTGAGGCAGTCTTGAAGCCCGCGATTTTTTACCGAATCATGCCAGTCTTCACTGCCCTGCGAGGTCCAAGTCGCGGACAAAAAGCAGTGCAGTGCAGTGCAGGGTTCTGCGGGAGTCGAGCTGTACCCTGCAGATGAGGACGCGCAAAGCGGACAGAGACTGAACTCTCGCGAGTAGGTCTTGCCGTAAGCGGGCCCCCGAGCATTGAATCAAACACCGTAGGTGGGTGGCAGTGAACGGAGTGAAGGGGGAGAAATGGAGCACGAGGAGGAGGAGGACGCTGCCGACGACTATCAAAGTTTGCCGCTGAATTGACGGCGGCACTGAACCATAGAATTACACCAATAATATTTTACCAGCCTGCAGGATTCACGTGCGTCACCCGCGCGCAAAGCGAAAACCAGACCTGTACAGAGCCCATGCCTGCGGGACGTGCGCTAACTCGCTGCTGCAGCCGTCGCTGCTTCGGGAATCTTTTAGGATCTTCGGGGATCTTCTGACCCGGGTCGATCCAGACCCGGGTCAGCAGGAAACCAACAATTGCAATGCAAAAACAAAAAAAACTGCAACGCAGGTATTCGCAAACCCGGGTCAGCCAATACGCGCGGCCGCCTCGCGGCCACGAGCGGCTCGCTAACCCGGGTCAGCCAGAGGGGGTCTTCGCAGAATTCTGCAGAATCTGGCGCTCTGGCTGACCCCCATTTGCACTGACCCCCGTCTCTTAGGCCCCGACTACTGGCGCGTGAGCGCAAGCTCCGGCCACATGCCGCCGACTAAATGACGGCGGCGCCGATGCCTGCACAGACAGAGCTACACAGGCCACACCACGACAGGGCCTGCCCCCATGGCCAGGCCAGGAGACTATGCCCACGACGTGTCGGCGAAAGGGCCGCCCGAGGAGCCAGAGTCACGGAGCTCAGAGCCTGAACTCCCCTGCCGCTGAATTGACGGTGACATTTAAACATGAACTGGCAATTGCACCCAACATATTTTACCAGCCTGCAGGATTCACGTGCGCCACCCGCGCGCAAAGCGAAAACCAGACCTGTACAGAGCCCATGCCTACGGGACGTGCGCTAACTCGCTGCTACAGCCGTCGCTGCTTGACTCTGCATTGCGCCTACTCGCGTGTGAGCTTACGCCCCGCGGACTCCCCGCCCACGAGGGGCAGATTGGCGAAGGGCTGTCTGCAGAGGTTCTTGAAAACCAGCCCGCAGAGGCGGCGCTCCAGCATGGTGACGGTGCGGTTCTGCTCGGCGCGCACCAGCCTCCGGACGCGGATGGTAATCTGCGCCTGCCGCTGGCGCATGGCCCGGGTTTCCCAGCTGACGTCGCTGAACTCTGCCAGCATCATGTCGGAGGTGCCGTCGACGCGGACCCTCGCCATCGGGGAAGGGGTACGGTCCTGCCGCTCTCGGCCGCGTGCCATGCGGTGTCGGCCTTGGTCCTGCACCTCCTCTGACGTACCCGAGCCTTGGTCCTCCGCCTCCTCCTTTTCATCCACCAGCTCTGCCCCGTTGATGGCGTGGATCTCGGGATCAGCGCCCATCAAACCCGTGTCGATGCCCACCCGAGCTGGAGGTTGGAATTCCTTTCCGCACATGTTTGTCACTGCCTGGTTCGCCGCCGCAGCCATGAAGAAACACTTTTGGACGGGGATACCGTAGGTCTGAGCCCTAATGGCTTGAGCCAAACCCGCTAAGGAGGCAATATTGAAGCCCTCTTGGGGCCTTCTTCTGGCCGTCTTGGGCGCCTCTTGGGCCGTCTTGGGGCTCTCTGGGGCCGTCTTCGGACTCTCTGGTAAACCTCTTTTTGGGCCGTCTTGGGGCGGTTCGGGGGGGGGCGTTTGCTTCGTCGTGGAAGCACGAAAATCGCATGTGCTGCAAACGTCCGTTTTCCTCACGGCAACGAAACGAATTAGAATTCATGGAGCCCTCTTTGGGCGTTTTGGGTGGCCCTTGGTTCTTCTTGAGGCCATCTTGGCGCGTCTCGGAACGCTTGCGGGGGGTCTGGGGGGGTCTCGGGCTGGTCCTGGCGGCTTCTGGAGCCGTCCCAAAATCCTCAGGGCCCCCGCTAGGGAGCCCTTGGGCCGCCCGGGGCCCCCATGCCACGACGTGGCCGTGGTTCTGGGCCCGCCCCTGGACGACGGCGCCGACGACGACGACGACGACGACGGCGGCGACGACGACGGCGACGACCACAGCGGCGGCGGCGGCGGCGGCGGCGCTGACGACCCCAGAATTCGAAATCGGCTCGGTATGGGTCCCCAGACCTCTTCGGGGGTCTGTCCGGCGGCGGTGTTCGCCCCGTGGAATCAGTTTTGAAGCCTCTAGGGAGGCTCTTGGGACCAGTTGTTGGTCCTGTTGGGGACGTCGTGGGAGCCTCTTGGGTTCTCTCGGGGGCCTCGTGGAGGCTTCAAGGGGCCTCTTGGGGTGGAAAGCTCAGATTGTCCGTCAGTTTGCCTCTCTGGGCCCCCGCTTTGGGCCGTCGTGGAACCCTTTGGAACGCCTCTCGAGCTGCGTTGGAGCCGCCTTGGGCTGTCCTCGGGCCCTCTGGGGGACTTCTTGGGCGCCTCGCGGGCCCTTTTCGGTGTTCGTGGTTTTTCCCTGGGCCGTCTGAAATATTTGGAGTCTGACAAGGCGAAAACTGCGGAGTCTCACAAGGCGAGAAAACAGGACGAAAATCTATGAGTTGTGCCTATTGGGGCGCTCTCGGGTGGCCTCTGGAAGCCCTCTTTGAACGTCTTGGGGGCGTTCCAGGGCGTCAGGAAGCCGTCTTGGGGAGTCTTGGGGCCTCCCAGCGATGGCTCGCGGTGTCTGGCGGAAGTTACGCGGATGCGTGGGGAAAGCGTATATTGAGGCTCTTTTTCCTCCAACGCAGCTCGAACAAAAGGGCCTGCGGGCATGCTACGAATTGACGGCGTCCAAATCACTCAAGATCCCGAGCACGCCGCCTGGCCGAGCGGGAGCGGGCGGTGAACCCGCTCCTCCTCGGGCGCCCCTCGGGTCACCACTCCCTCCAGGGTCCTAGAAAGCGAAACTTAAAGCCCGCAGTGCCTCGACGCGCAGTCGCGGAGGTCTAGACTCGCGCCCATGGCGCATCTAAACAGCGCGCGGCTCAAGGCCCTACTCGGACCACACCCCCTGTTTTCTCTGCCCCAGAGGCTGGAAACGGGGGCTCGTCGTCCACCAAATATACTTGACCTGGCTCTGGGTGGCCACCGTCCTTCTGCGGTCGCCCTTCCTAGTCTCGAGCTTCACTGCTGCTTCGCTCGGCCCCTCGATCGGAGCGCGCCGTGGCCTCCCGCCGTCGTCGCCGCGCGTCAGGACACCCGCGCGGCACCAACTCGGCCTCGCAACCGGACAAAACCAGCAAGTCAAGGAAGACCCGGGCGAAGCAATCAGGAGCCCTAGGCTCACGCCCGCCATCAGCACAGTCAGGCTTCCGTAGTAGCCCTCAGTCGTGACTCCTGGCATGGCCGCTGGAGTCAGCGCACTCTCGCCCCCCCTGCGGCGCCTCGCACAGCTCGGTCGAGCTTCCCTGCGCCGCGGGGAGCGACGCACCCACTGCAAACAACACCTTTTCAACAGGGTTGACTGGCCCTGGACGTCGGTCGGCATGGCCCCGACTCCAGCTACCCTCGAGGTCCCTGGCACGGGCACCTCCTTCAACCCGCGGCTCTCGCGGAGCCGCTCGGGGCGTGTCCTCGGAAACGCCTTTGTGCCGGGATCCGCCAAGTTGTCGTCGCCAGCTGCATGCTCGATGCTGATGACCTTCTTGGCCACCAGCTGCTGAATCCAAAACGTCTTGGTGGCAAGGTGCGCGATCCGCCCGGTGCCCTGACGCCTCGCCAACGCTCTCGCACTCGAGCTGTCACCTCGCCAGCTCATGCGCACGCTGCAGCCCATGAGCGCGAAGAGCGCCTTCAGCCAAAGTCCCTCGCTGAGACCTCGAGCTCCAGCGTGCCACTCGGCTTTGCAGCTGATAAAAGGGGCTGTGCGTCTTGACGACAGCCGATCCCGTGCATTGGGCACCCACGCGCGGTGGTGTGCACGCTGGTCTGGCTCTGCCGCTCCTTCGCGTCGCCTGCCCAGTCGGAGTCTGTCCACGCGACCTGGTCGACGAAATTCCCGCGGCGCGGTGGTCTTGGCCATCCTCACGCCCACGTCCCTCGTGCCCTTTCAGGTACCTCGCCACCCTCTTGAGGGCTTGCATGTCCGTCTCACGGGGCGATGAGATGCACGAGGTCAGGTAATTCATGTCGTGCTGAGCATCTTCGCGGTCATGAAGGTAGAGCAGCAGGCGCGTGGTCACTCTCCTGAACAGCCTGGTCTGGGCTGAGGTCGGGCGCGTCGCCGACGCCTGTCCTGCGCGCCCCCACCCCTGGGGTGTCGCACGGGTTGCCCTCCTCAAGGCCCGGCGCCCCCAGTGCCTTTGTGAGGTACTTCTCGTTGGGCTGAACGCAGGTAGCGCCAGCCTCTCGCACGCGCCGCCCCTTGAGAAACTCGTGAACGGCACCGTCGCCCTGTGGGCCTGACCACTTCGCCTTGGCATCTCGGCCCAGATCCAGCACGAAGCCGGACCCTGCGACTCCAGGCGCTGCGCCGTGCATGCCGCCCATGTGCAGCTCCACCAGACATGGGGGCACGGCGCGCCAGCAGAACTGGGGCGCGGTCGGTGACCGCCCGAAGCCTCTGGCCATGAGCTGCCCCGCGGCGAAATCGACCCAGTGCTTCCAACCAGCGCGCCGTCCTGGCAACTGCTTCGCGAGCTGCCAAACGCAGTCCTCAGCGTCGCCCCATCGCGCGGCACTCTTCCAGGACTTCGGGTGGGCACTCGACCCACGCGTCCTACTCCTCGGGGACACGGTAACACGCGTCCTCCGCGTCTGCGGTGAAGGTGGGCCATCCGTGTTTCAGAGCCACATAGTCCACCACTCGGCTGTCGACCATGCTGCTCCCTGGCGTGAAAGAGGTCGTCGCGGCACTCCTGCCGCACTTGAAGTCTCGCGCGACGTACCTTGACTTAGCGATCCCCCATCCGAGGTTCGCGCCCCGCTTGTAGACATGGCCCCAGCGGGCGCTGGTCCTCTCGCCGGCGGCCTCGCTCCGTTTGACGAGCCGACGAGCTTGCCCACCCCATGCTGCTCCAGGCCGTCGAAGGCCCGTTTGGTTGAAGCCTCGACCAACTGCGAGTCCGACGCATCCTGGGGATCAGGGACATCCATCTCTGAGGATCTGCAGGAAGTCAGGAAACACGTCAAAACAGTGCTCTGCCGCTACTCCGCTAACTCGGGACATCGCAAAAGTGCCTCGGTTGTCGCCCCCCTTCCGCGGGCCGCTTCGGCGATCGACCCATCGGGGGCGTCAGCGGGGGGGCGCTCGCTGGCGCTGCGGCCCTCGGCGTCATGAGGGCGTCGTCCCCGGCGCGCCCCCAGCCGACGTCTGCGTCGCCGGCCCCGCCTGCCTGTCCCCAGCGGTCGCCTCGGAACCGCCTGGCGCGTCTGCCGAGGGCGCCGCCACGGGCGCCGCCATGGGCGCGCCCGTCTGGGCTGCTGGCCCGCCGCCATGGGCGGCCCCATTGGAGTGGGCAGCAGCGGTCGGGTCTGGCTGAGTCCCAGCTGCCTCTTGCGCCGCCAGGTGTGCGTCCGCAGCGGCAAGGGCGCGTAACGATAGGCTCGATCCCACGCAGGGCCGTGCCCTGCCCTCGGCGCTGCCACGGCATGTGCGTAATCGCCGCCACGGCGGTGCCGTTGAACCTTCACTTTTCGGGCAGCCTCATGACGGTCCTCGTCGTGACTAGCCCCCCCGTCTCGAGGGCGCAGATGCGCTCGTCGGCGTCGTAACTCTTCCCTAGCCAGACTGCCCTCGCGAAGCCCATGTCGCCCTTGTGGCACACCTTTCCCCTCGCCCTGCGATTCCTGCCCCTGGGCAGGCGCGCCAGGGCGGACTCCTTTGGGGTGGCCATCTCCCTGGCGTAGGCGTGGCCGTGGAGGTCCTCATGTGCGGTGCGACCGCTCGCCTCGATCCTCAGGTTGGTGCGTGCCCAGCCCGCGTGGCGTTGCAACCACTTGTGCCTGGCCGTGCCCGGTCGGACCCTGGCCCCCAGTCGCGCCTCCAGCGCGCCCCTGCTCGTGCGGAACTGCGCCTGGATGATGCCATTGGAATTCCTGGAAGGGTTCGACTGGGAGCTGGACGCACGCGCGGGTCTCGCGACCACACGCATGGGCAGCTCCGCCTCTTGGCCGGGTGCATCATGACGTCCTCGTGCTCTGGCTCTAAGATGACCTTCTGCTGGAAAGGCTCTTAATGAAGGCTACCGTGGCTGCCGCCGTGCAGGGGGCAGCGCGTCGGTCAGGCTTCGGCGCGCCCCGCATGGCACCTGCGTCGGCATCCGCGACTACAAGCACCACTTCCTCGTCCTGTCGTTGGCCATCCTCGGCGCGGGGGCCCGCCTCAACGGCGTCGACCGCCTCGCCCTTGAAGAATGCCAGGTCAAGCCCGATCGCGGGGAGGCGTTCCATCTCCGCGCCCAGTAACTCGCGTGGCCTGTCACGCCCACGTCCCATCTGACAGTGCTCACACCAGCGCCGCGGTGGGCAGTGCTGCTTCTCCTCGTGGCGCCGTCTCTCCTGCGGCGTTGGCTCGCGGACGTCGGGGAACATGGTCGGTTCCACCACCTGTCCCGACTCCGTCTGACGCCTCATCTCCTC